GCATGGTGTGGTGGTGAACGCGTTACTCCCCGGAAAGGACAATAGCGCGTTCGTTCCCCACCATAGACACCTGCGGTCCAGAGTTTTGCAAATATCTCAGCAACGTTGTTATTATTATTATTGTTATTTTTATCACTGCTGTTATTACTATTAATAGTATCAATTATTGATTACTAGCACTGTTATTGTTACTATTATTACTATTATTATTGTTAATTAATTAGTTATTACTATGATTGCGTTGGGTTTTTGGTAATAACAAGTTGTTAATGCATTATTTTGTGATATTTTATATAGCTGGTTTGCCAAGTAAATAGCAGTAAAAATAATTTGTCCCTCTATGAAACGCATACTGCATTCGCAGTGTTCCTTGGACGAGTGGCCCACTGAAGAGATTTAAATCTCCCTTCAAGTAACGACTAGTAAGTTTTTGAGTATTTTTTTAAGAAAACCTTTTAAAAATCTCAGTTTTCTGGTAAATAATGGTTTCAGATATTTGGGGACGATGAGGATTTTGTGATCGATACACGTCCAACGTTAATGAATTTGGAAGATTTCGTCCCACCTAAGATTGTGTCTAAAGGTAATATCGCCAAAGAGGACAAGGATGAAACGTTTGTTCTAAAGCGTCGGAAAGTCGACATACCTGATGCTGATGATGATTAACCTAAAATTGGCCGTTATTCTGTACTCCCTCATGATGACTTTTGTTATTTCGTCAGTTCATTGTGAGATCTCATTTTTCAGTAGTTCTTTGGTCTGTAAGATTTCGCAACTTGAATAACGCTCTATGTAATACTTCACTCTTTTTCGCTCGTTTGTACATAAACATCTGCGCATGGCTGTGGAAGTTCAACAGTTGACTGATTGGAGAAAAAAGAAGAGCAAAGTCGAGGCAGTTCAATTCACAAATTTGTTATAGAGTAGTCAGTGATGTTTCACTTGAAGCTGAACTTCTCATCCATGACTCAGTGACATTGACTGCTTTCGAACTATTAGACTAATTGTCAAGCTGTCAGATGTTCGCACTCAGTGTTGTATTGTTAAGTCATCTGGGAAATGCCTTGTAGGATGCCTTCATCAAAAATCTGATGTGAGTAACTTGTGAGAATGTCGGCGAACCATGCATCGTAATTCTCACTCACCATTCACTACTAATATAATAGCTCGTACATAATGCTGAGATATTTGCAAAACTCCGGACCGCAGGTGTATGCGGTGGGGTACGAACGGGCGCTATTGTCCTTACCGAGGAGTAGCGCACTTCACCACCACACCATCCGGGTCCTTCGCTTTGCCTGTCTCTCACCTAGTTCTATTGATCTTTTGACGGGTGATTGTTGATGGCAAAAGATCAATAGAACTAGCTGAAAGACAGATGAAACGAAGGACCCGGATGGTGTGGTGGTGAAGTGCGCTACTCTCCGGTAAGGACAATAGCGCGCGTTCGTTCCCCACCGCATACACCTGAGGTCCGGAGTTTTGCAAATATCTCAGCGTTATGTACGAGTTATATTTCGCAACATACCCTGCCATTAAAAAGAAAAAGGCAGTAAATAAAAGGGTTAAGATTTGTAATATAATAGCGTTTCGATTCATTTCCCAGAGAAACGTGTGAGGCTCTAATAAAACTCATCTGGTGTTGTTGACCTCACCCTTTGATGTTTTTACTAAACAGGAACTGATACATTAAATTAGACTGGCTTGATTCAAGCGTACTCCGATCATGCCACCACCTAAACTGATTTCGAAATCACAAGTAACTTCTTAGCAGATGCTCTTAAGCTACACCTGGATCTTTATATCAATTCCTGTTTCCTTAATTGTGATTATTTTTGTCCGTAGAGGGCGGATAGCACGGTAGTAGTGATGTCCATTGTCACGAGCATGGTACTAGTTCGATTCCGCCCCGTCCCAACCAAGCCTCTCATCCGTCCGGGGTCTGGAGATTGGTACCGGACTTATCTGTGGGAAAAAACAATCTCTGCAATCCAATTGGGAACGCTCCAACCAGGGTATCAGGACTTTAGGGAGGTTTGCTCGACCAGCATTCTACGGCATTCAAGATGAAATGGAAATCCTCAAGCAGCAACTGGAGGCCACAAGTAAAAGTTGGAAGGTCCTCGTGGACAGTGGTTGCGAGGGAACGAATCGAATTTGTGAAGTGCTGGCATTCGTACAGTAGACGTGAAGACGTACTAAATTTAAAAAAAGTAAATAAAAAGTTTCTTTAATGATGCTGAGATATTTGCGAAATTCCGGACCGCAGGTGTCTGCGGTGGGGAACGAACGCGTTGTTCTTTCCGGGAAGTAACGCGTTCACCACCACACCATGCGGGTCTCTCGTCTCGCCTGTCTCTGCAAATAGCTTAGCATCATTAAAGCT